CATTCCTTAACTATTGTACATTTCTCTGCAGCCTGGGTTCTTTGTTGCATGACCAAAAGCCACCCATAGGCTAACAATTAACACCCCCCCCATGAGCTGAAAGGAAGCAAAAATTTTGCCCTCCACTCTTTGTTAAACCACCACTTGTAAAAGCACTCAAGCGTGGATGCAGCTCTGTGCGCAATTCAACCTCCTTCTGACAATGATATAGACTCCCCTCTACAAAAGAACAATCGAAAGGGTTGTTACAAATTTGTCCATTGTCACTGCGCTGCTATCATTTCTCTCTTAATTGTCATCACTGAAATAGAATATGAGATTATCTACTCTGCAAAAGGGAGTGTTGATGAAGGGGCAGTGCCAGCTGAGCTTTCTCCTTGACCATGACCCTTATTTGTCATAATGGTAATGATCCTAATGATGTGATACTTCATTGAGCGCTATAGGGAGTTTTTTTTTTTTTTTTTTAATGTCCCACCCCGCCCCTTTTTTGTAAAGCTATGGTGCAGCTAAATCCGAATAGAATCTGCCGAATCACTCTCCTGCCCGATGACTCCCAAAGAAGATGGATGCTTGACAGCAAGGAGGTTTAAAAGTGTTCCTTCCAATTCATCGGCAACATGCTATTATATTGGATGAGCGGAAAAGGATTGTTTTTTTTTTTGTTTTTTTTTTTTTTTGACATATCTATTTTCATTTACATCTGAAAGATATGCCCCTTTGCAAATATATGTTGAAATTGGGAATCTTTTGAAATCAAATCAAAATGGCAAAAATTGAATGATACTAGGTAGCTATAAAATGTGTATCAATTGTCTCTGCCCGGGTCCAGAACCAGAACTTGCTGTGCCCAAAACTAGCAGCACAACGCTTTGTGAATTGACAGCTCAAAATGTCAACACAACAGTCCCAGGTCAATGTACGTGGCGATGACCTGACGTTATTTCGCATCAGATCTCATCCACATCAGTGCCACCCCAAATTGCAGAAAACCTCCTCTGCTCTCGCTTTCCTGCCATGAGTTGAATGTAAATGCGCGTTTGACATCGACCTAAATCGCTGTCATAATTCATTTCCAGAGCTCTTAAATCTCCCCCTGTCATCTGGCAGGTCTGCTGTTTTCCCAATCCAAACATAGCACATTAGCCCTTATTGATGCCTTTGTCCTTTGATACATGATTCATCACTCGCAGAACTTTTCCTTTTTCCAAATCATCACGTATTTGTCTTGTTGTGGATTTATTTTACAAAGTGCAAAAAGAAAGAAAAGATAAAAAGCACATTTTTATCTCTGATACATATCTCATATCCGTGAATGAATGCAGAATAGATCTAAATGCAAACGTAGCCAATCAGCTTTGATATTTCTGCAAGGAAGGTGAGTCGAAAATGACCATAACCAAACCGACCAGTTTCTCAAGTGAACAAAATCAAATTTTTGGGACATCGGTGTAAGCAAACAATTGATTCACAGACACATAAACAGAAGTACGACACAGATGGGAATAGAACACATTAAGGCAAGCAAAAGACCAAACTCCCGAAGTCAGGAATTGGCGAAACAGCAGGGACAATTCATGCCAGAAAAAAATGCCTTTAAAAACAAAAAATAGGCTGATTTCAGTGATATGGGCGTTGGAAGTGAATTGTGGGACAATTGAAAGAAGAACTCCTGATTTCAAAATGATAACTACCCTTCTGGAATACGTACGTCCATTATTCGATCCTTCCGCTCCTATGCTCTTTTGCTCCACTTCTTGCCACTTGTGTATTATGGAAGGTCAGCACCGCTTGGCGACAGCAAAAGAATATCGATTTGTCGGGTTTTCTCCCAAGTGCGGTGAAATTTACATGAAGCTTCAAGAAGCCAAAATCAGTCGATGTCTCATGTCATCCCGTCACCTCTCGGCCTTGTTTGGATGTGCTATTTGCTGCAGGTTTGGTTAAAGAGCTGCCTGCCCTCCTTAAGTGGTAATGGATGGTTCTAGTGCCTATCCCAGCGCCGAATAGACTTTTGCTCTTTTCTCCGTTGTCACAAAAGGCCAGCCACTTCGCTGGAGTTCCCGTTCCCCTTTTACATAGTGATAAGACAGTCATTATCCTTTGAACCTTTCCTTTCACCAAGCCAGGAGAAAAAGGAAAGAGTGAAAGCCAAGGAGGAGGAGGACAGAGAAAGATTTCTTCCCTGAGGTGAGCCTGGCCTCACCTCAATGTGGCGGGCTTTTTTGTGAGCAGTGAAGAGGTCCTTAACCTTCTATCAGATGGAGGCACACAGTTGTGTTCTGCTTGAATAACTACATTGAAAAGCCCTCAAGCACTGGAGATGGTTCTATAGAGTCTGCTGGTGCCGGGGAGAGCGAACGGGAGAGCCCGACAGAGAGAGAGAAACTTGAGTTTGACCCTTACATGATGTTCACGTTCTCTGTTAAAATGCCCATCAGTGCTTCACTATGAATCAATGTTTCTTGTATGACCGGATAGTTCTCCTCGAATCATGTCACAGCATCATACATTTATATAATACACTTCCTCGAACAAATCTCACTTCAGCTTTCCGCCCGAAGCTCTCCACGGTTTCAATAGTATCTGTAGCGGCAGAAATAGTGGAATGCTGACTTCTATCAGGGCCGCCCGGTTGTTGATAGTGTGAGATGGTTACATAATTCAAGCAGCCGGTCACCGTTTCACCGCAACGATGTTGTAAATTCATGTGGATTTACACGATATAAAGTCAGAGTTGATTAACCGGCTCTTCCATCTGTCACTCTCACAATTTATGCTATCGTGTCGTATCCAGTGTTGAGAAGTTAAAAATATGCACCTCTTACTTCGTTACGATTAAAATTATGGCAGTGCACTCACTGGCTTGGTACTTCGAAATATGTTTTCCTTCATCGCAAAATTGTCTCTTTTTTTTTTTTCTTCATTGTCCTTTCGTACAAAGGCACTGAAGTCACAAACGCCCCAAAGACAAACTGCAGTTATCACACATTCTCTCACTGTAATGTGATTTTCGGGAGATAACACGAGGCAAAAGTTAAGACAGATGATATTATATATGTCTCTCAATAAAGATGTTGCTGCTGGGATTATTGCTTCGTACTCACATTTGATGTTGTCCCATCGGATAATAATTAGGTAGCACTACTTCTTACAGGTCACAAAATTATGTTTCTAGTGTTCTGCTTACTTTAGGTTATGAACTGGTTAACTTTTACCTCTGGCATGTCTTGCTGCATTTTAATGTAGACGCTCTATACACATTTGCGGCTATCTTTTCTTTTTAATTAAAAAGACAAAAGCCAAAGGTGGTGCTCCATTCATATCAAAACCTGTAAACTCAAAAACTAATAAAAATCAAAGAACAATGTTGCTTCTCACTGTGTGTGACACAGCTCCAAGAGACAATTCAACGCAATCTCAACAGCGATGAACGCTTTTCCAACGAAAAGTGTCCAGAATTGCGTATAAACATAGCAGATTGCCGTTTTATCGCTTGTCCACTGCCCAATCGGTTTGGTGGGTTTTCCACTTCAAAACAGTACCGCAAAACACGTTCGACTGCATCACTTACTGTGACACAAGTAATGTGACAGGGCCTCCCATATTAAAACTCATTCACTCCCAAAGACGTTTTTAAACGTCTTTTCAGACTTGGTCCAGAATTGGCTGGTACTGAATGAGTTAAGTTCTGACAAGCTTCTGACCACAATATGGTGAAAAATCTTTTGAGAGCAGCATGAAAATGAGTTAAATTGAAGACCATGGAGTATAGTACTGCAGCATTCAAAGTTAAGACTGAGTAACGGGTTAGCATGTGGCAGGATGGTCCAAAAACCTCATTGAAATCTTTTCTGTCCCTGTCTGCTGTAACCAAATGTGAATACGGGCAATGATTTGATTGTAGATGTTTATATTCAGGTATAGGTGTGTGTTAGCCCCCTTTCTCCAATTGAGCATTATCTTCCCATTTTATTTGCATAGGTGTACGCGTAACAAACAAAAAAAAAAATAAAATCCCAGAGAGCTGCAGTTGGTTAGTGAGCTGTGCATAAAATCACAGGGTTCCCCACACCGTGCCAGCATCTTGCTTGGCAACGTCAACATCTGTGCCAAATGTGCAGCCAGAGTGTGGCAAGAGCAGTGTGCCAGTGCGAGTCTGCCTGGTTGCCAGGGACTACTTTTTTTTTTTTTTTTTTTAATCCAATCAGACAGTTCTGCTTGACTGAGACCCCTATTCTTGTCTGGTCCCATCTTCTCCCAAAGCTTTTCCACCCTCCCATGAAAAACACAGACACAGGCCTGTGCGCACGCATTTCCCCCGCACGGCATAAAGCCTTGGAGGTACATCGTTACACTTACCTAGAAACCATAACCAGGAAGCGAGAGGTGCAGTGTTCCCACTTTTTTTTTTTCCCTCCCCTGTCTGCCACTGTTCCCTAGCTCTCTGTCCTTTTTATATTCCCCCCGAAGACAAAATTACGGAGTGAATGAGCATGCCTCACTCTGTTTTTAAAGCAGTTCTTCAAAGATATAAAAATCACAGGTTGTCCGTGGATAGGAGATGCGTGAGGGAAAAATGCGGCCCGACTATCTGTGTGTGGCTTTATTGGACATGATGAGGGATGATATTATGGTGGATGCTCCTGCTGCCGCGCTTGTGAGATGAGCGCGGATGGCCATTTGTCTCACTTTCGCTTAGCGTAATGCATTTATCCGTCTCCTTCCCCAAGAATGGACATTGGTGTTCATCAAACAAATTGTCCAAACAGTTCTCCATTTTCCTCAGCGCTTGTCATTATTGTCATTTTCTGCCACTTTTCACTCACACGTCTCTGCCGCGGAATCAGAAGGGGGAAACGATATCTTGGATGGCAATGCCGCCGTGGCGATTTTTCATGTTTTCTGACATTAATTAAATGGAATGAATTGATCAGATGATGACACAAAAAAAAAAAAAAAACCCTGACTAAAAAGGCTTCATCCTTCCTCTCTTTCAGGTCGATGACGCCATGCTTATGTTTGATAAGACTACGAACAGACATAGAGGTGAGTGCACAGTAAACCGAAAAAGCAAAACATTTTATGTCCTTTCCTTGCGCGATAACGGAACGGTTCCATTTCACATGATATTGGGTGTCTCATCTGTTGAACAATGAGAGCGTGTCAAACTGATCAATAAGTTGGTACGGTGCTTAGAATGTCTCAGCATTAGCTTGGGTGTGTGCGTGTGAGTGTGTGTGTTCAGGTCATGGTGTTTGCGTGTTTCGGAGATGTGCTTAAAGGCTGTAAGATTGTCAGATGGCGGGTGCTGTGCAGTCAGATAACAGTGTCAGATAACGCCCAGGAGAAGCACCGACTTTATCGCACGCTCATCGGCGCCTTATCTTTCGATGAGCGAAACGTTTCTCTCTCAAATAGAGGACTTTCCAAAGACAGGTTTCCTCTTTTGCGCCGTGAGCCAGCGCCGTGCGTGTAAGCTAAACAGCGCACTCAAAGGCCGGATTTAACCGCTGGTTACCACACATCGGGCTGTCGTTTATCGGGGGGAGGCTGCTTCTATTGGCTGTTAAAGGAAGTTGAAAGTAACAGCGTGCCTCACTCGGTTGGTCTGTGTGCGCGTCGGTCTCTTTCCGTCCTTCTCCCTGTCTCGATCATTTTGTCTGTGAGTAGTCAACAGGCACCGACAGGTATTTCCACAAGAGAAGGATGCGGGCTTTTCTGTCACATCAGTCAGTATTCTTGTTAGTTCGTCACTCCCTGCACATTGAACTGGGCCATATTGAAGAAAGTATGAGTCTATTGAGACTCATCCTCCCTGACTTGAAACACACTGCATTTATTTATTAAATACTTGTGCAGTCGAGATCGATGGGGGCAGCAGTAGTAGCTTTGGAATCGGAAGGCGGAGGGTATGAAATTTGGCATGCGCGCAACAAGATTGTGATTGTAACAATCATAGTAACGTCCAAACGTAATGTGAGATGGTAAACAGGATCTCAACGGAGCCGTTTTCGGTCCGTCTTCGCCATTTAAGACAAAAAGCGGAATCTTCTGTTCTTGATATTTTGTTCGTTGCTTCTGTGTTGTGACAATACTACTCGATCATCGGACTGCAGTCTCGCTTATTGGGGACCGTATCGGCTTGTATAGGCTGCAGCTCACCTGGGACCATCGGCATCCCAACGACATGCACCTCGTGGAAACCTGACCTCTGTTTCGTACTCCTTGCTGTTTTGAAACGGGGCCGTAAGTGTGCATTACAGTCTCACCCGCTCCTTTCTCCTCTGTGTCAGGATGCTGTGCAGACAAACCCTTTGAGCCTGGTAAACAGTTTTCAAGTGTTGGAACATGTGAACTATAGTGGAAGTGATCTATGGCTTTGAGGGGATTTTGATCTGTCATGACAGGACCCGGTGTGGGGTCTTTCAGACAAAGGCGTTTTCTCCCTCTTCTCCTTCTCCCCTGTCTGCCGCATAGGCAGCCTTTCCTGAGAGAGTACGGACACTTTGCTCCGGGACTTTGTTAGACGTTTGCCTTTGGGCAACAAAACGTCCTTCAAATGAAGACTTTTTTTTCTTTTTTTTTTTTTTTTTTGGGGTGGAGGCGTGTGGGGGGTGATGACAACAGCCGTATTTATATTGAGTGTGACAATGAGGCAGGCGGCAGGTGCAGTTAGTTTCTTCGCTCACTGGTTCTCTTAATAGCATTTTGATATTTGGTTCCGGTGGGAATTTGAAACAGTAGACATTTACCGCTTTTATCTTGAGACAACAGGTCTCCAAGATGAAACGCATTGAATATTACAGACCCGTAAGAACATTTCAATAATTCATCAGTGCCACTGGTGTGGTTGTGTAATATTAATGACTCAACTGCTCCATGACCACAAAGGAAAGGGCATTAAATATATTATAAGTGAAACCAGTGCCTTGGTCCGCTGACTGCACAGCTAGCTGCCTGCAGTCCAAATCAATTTCCCACCTGTGTAGATTTTTATCCTACAGATTGAGTCATGAAAAAATAATTCCGGGTTTTGCTGTCGTATGTAAAAAAAAAAAAAAAAAAAAAAAGATCAGCACAAGCTCATTTCTATCCATCGAAATTATTATGCTGATATAAAGCTTCCTGCAATTCGCCAATGCTACTTTTTTTGTACATATTTTCTCACGAGTTGTCATTTTATCATAAATTTTAAACTTGTATTAGTAATCATACATTATAGCCTAAAAATCAAACAAACCCCTATAAAGGTTATGGGGGGGAAAAAAAGGTCATTGCTTATTTCTATCTAACATTGAGTTTAATGTGATGGAGTCAAGATGGGCAGAAGATGCGTGATTGACACCTGATTGTGTGATTTCTGTGGGGCTGCGCTGAATTGGATAGAGGACAAACGTCACACTCCAATAGTAGCAGCATTGTCCTCCAGACGGTCCCCGTGAGGCCGAACGAACGAATGCCACAGACATTCTCTACATTTCCCATTTTAGTTTTTTTTTTTTTTTTGCTCTTTCATTCACTATCTCGTGCAGTCTCCCCCCCCCACCCTGTCCGACTTTGCCACCTCTCGTCTTTCTCCCGCCGTGTCTCCTGCTTAGAGGACAATTGCCATAAGCAAAGCCCCCAACAAAGGCGCGTGTAGAGCACCATCTCCTTGGCATTTAAGGGAGTAGAATACTGCCGATTGTGTTGGAAATTGAACTCTCCAAAGCCGCTCTTGCCTCAGCAGCCGTTCATTGTGGACGACTTCAATGCCTTCGGTGAGCAGCTTGGACCGTCCAGGGGTTGATGCCAGAGGGCACCTATTGTTCCATGTTTTACCGCAATTCCCCCCCATTGCTCCGCCTCCATTCCACCTTCTCTTTTCTCCTGAAACTCATTTTGTCGCAAGACACAAAGTAGGGATGTGTGACATTCGTTTTTGGTTAATTTTTTTGTATGTTTCAATGGCTGACTCATACGATGGGAAGGGAGTTTGAGGTGTTCCACAGGTTGTGGTAGTGCTCAGCCTATCTGTCCAAGTTTATGCTCTTCCTTTATGGGCCGCAGATAGACTTGATGACATCAAAGAAAGCTTGGAAGCTGATGTTGTTCACCTGTTGCAACGTCTCGCTTTCTATCTATGCACCACTCATTCTCAATCCCTCTGTGGCAGTGCCAGATTTCAGTCCAGATGATGCTGAAGCGGGTACCTCAATCCTGTTTTTCAATTTTTAGAGCAGGGGTGTTGCCAGGAGGTCTTGAATTTGTTCTTTAGTCGAAACAAGGTGTTGGTCATGATGCGCCATTGCCCAGAACAAAGAGTGAGGAGGCGGATTTTGAGGTGTTTTAAGATTAAAAATAAGGTATTTTTTGTCACGTTCCACTCCGAGATTAGTTTCCTTCCTTTGCTCTGAGCACCATCTACCCCCAGCTATTTGCCGATGAGCAGGGACTGTGGTTGAGAGGAACCAGGGCATGTCCACACACCATTGGGCGTGGACGATTTCTCTCGAGGTACCACTGCCGCTGAGAGATCTCCTGCTGTTTCGACTGGACCGGGAGATTGCCAATTGCTATCTGTGGCCACGAAAAGTCACTGTTGGAGTCTTTGCCATGGAATGCTTTGTACGAACAGGAGGAGGTTTACGTGCTCTGCTGCTCCTTTGAATCCTGTCAGATGTTAGCCAGTGGCTGTAGCTGAGAGCAGAAAGTAGCAAGCAGAAGCATCAGATCGCATTCTGGAACCGCAGGCAGTACTACCCCAGTACATGCGACTGCACCGACGCTCAAACACAGATTCTGTGCTTCTCACACAGGCAAAAATAATGTTTTAGTGTTGATAGTGTCCGAAAAGTAATCATTTAATGTACAGTGTATCATTATTGTTGCCATGATCATGTTTTTTTTTTTGGGAGGGGGGTTATGACAATATCTAGATTTAAAAAAAAAACCCTCATAAAATGATCTAAAATCGCTCCCTTTGCAAACCCACTTTGAGTAGCAGCTATCATTTAATTAATAAGAGACATTTTGAAAATGATGTGTTGTCAATGAATTGGTGGAAGTCCCTGCAGCAAGATAACCCAATAAAAGTTTGATCAATCCTGACCTTTTTCCCCCAATACCTTGATTTCATTTACTTATACTTCAAAGGTGTGAGCTAAAATATTAAACGCGGTACCTCTGATTATTTCCACACGTTCTCTCTTCCGTTTTTTTTTTTAATTGCACCATTAACAAGAATGATGAAATCCATGTGTAAGTTTCTTAAATATTGCTCAGTATAAGTTCGCACGCAGACAGCACCCATTAGTTTAGCTTTAATTGTGTGACTGATTCGAAGCTAAATTCCTGCTTCGCTTTGACTGATGCAAGTGCCAGTAATGTGCAACAGATTTGAGGACCGGGATAAACATTTGTATCGGTGTTGTGCATATTAGGAAAAAAAAAATGTTCCTGGAGAAGAAAAGGATTCATGGCATTGTATGAGGACGACATTAATTTCCGCTTTTTTCATCACTTGCCATTGCCATGTATGTTGTAAGGGCTGTTTTTCCACCTGGCAGAGGAACTTTTTTTTTCCCCCTTCTGGTTGTAAGGGCTGTTTTTCCACCTGGCAGAGGAAGAGAAGACCGCATGGTGTGTGTCTGTAATCTCTTTACCTGAATTGGCAGAAAAGCTTGCAAGTGCAGCTCCCAGTGTGAAGTTGGCAGGGAGAAGTCAATGTCACACTGAGCGAGCTGCCTTCCAAACAATCCAAAACTGTTAGATGGTTGTTTATTTTATAGGAGAGCAGTTCGGCTCCTGCATGGGGATGAAACGATACATGGTTTCCCGATAACATTTCAGACACTTTTACTTTCTTTTTCTTTTTTTTTTGAATATCATTACTCATTTATTGAGCGTGTTTGAAAGTCGTCGTCGTCTTTTAGCTTCTCCCATCGGACGTGCACCGCAAGAGCAAACAAACACGACGAACAAGCAGAAGACGACGAAGAAAAAGAGGCCACGACTCAAGACAAAACGTAACATGACGGAAGGCACCCTAGATGCTGGTGATATTT